TGCAATGGTCGCTCATGCCAATTCAAAATGATCAAAAGTCAATGACTCTTTTGCAATCCTCCACGTAGGAATCGCACTCGTGGAAGAAACCTTAAAAATTTAAACAATGAAACAGCAGTCGTCATCTAGCTCGCTTAGAATGCGGAACACCTTAGCCGGAGATTCCTGAAATCGGTCGGAGTCCCATAAGTGAACTAAAATTTGGCACTTAAACTGGGGGTTTTAGTGAGTGGACCGCAGAAGTGATTATTCGGGTGTGCAATCGGGTTTCTGTGATTGAGACCAGGAAGTTGATTATTTGACGAACTCAAAGTATATCTGAAACTTTATATAAACCATTGATTCTCGAAAGGAACTGTGAATACATTCCAGTTTCCTCTTGGGGCATAGAAAATTTACATTAATTTGAGACAGTGGAAAAGTTATGTTGAGAACAGTATAATTAAACAGTACATGTGAAAATAAACTAAAAAGACTGACGATTACAAGATTTCTACGGGAAGGAAACTTATCAGTTGTTTGGACTTGAAGATCGAATCTCGTGCCTACAAAAATTTGGATTATGATTGGGAACGATTCCTGAACAAAAGTCGTGAGTAAATACACACACACTAAATTTTCCAAGATATCATCCAAGGGTAGGAATTAGTCCAACTAATAAGTATCCTATTTACTAAAGATGAAAGAAACGTGAAGTTGTTTTATATCGAAATATCTCGAAACTGCTTGACCGCTAATCCTCAATTTTGATTGGTCAATGAGTCACGTGAAGTAGTCGCTGAAAAACACCCCCGGTGTTTTCAGATTATTCAAATGGCAAAATTTTTTTCTGCGTCATATTTTTCAGTTTTTCATGCGTGAAGTTTATCTTTGTATCAAAAAACATCTAAATTATCTAATTTTTGATCATGGGAAAAACACATAGTATTTCTAAATTTTTTTAACACAAATTATTCTTCACTTCCCAAATTTTAATTTTTTCATATTTATCATACGCACAAATGATCAATTCTTGCTTCTCAGATTTTCATACATAAATTCTAAACTCTACGAAATTCATGAAAATTCTTCGGTTTCCCAAATAATTCGAGAAAAATCTTCGAAGAGCTACGGTTATCTGGAAAATTGGAATTTTCCGAAGAATTCAAGAAATTTTTTCAGTTTTCTGGGAAATTAATTCATAACCCTCCCCTCATTTTTCAACAATTACAGATTTTAATCAGATTATTTTAAAGAGTAAAAAAAAAGAATTAATCGAAAATTAAAAATTATTTATTGATGTTTCACTCTTCATTCTCTTAATTCTCTTTAAGTCATTATCAATATTTATAAAACATCTATGAGTATATGAAGT